CCTTTCAGGTTCAAGTGATTCTTGTGCCTCAGTCTCCCAAGTAGCTGGGATTATCGGCACGCGCCACCATGCCCAGCTAATTTTTGTATTTTTATAGAGACAGGGTTTCACCATGTTGGCCAGGCTGGTCTTGAACTTCTGACCTCAAATGATCTGCCCACCTTGGCCTCCCAAAGTGCTGGGATTATAGGCATAAGCCACCCAGCCCACTGGACATTTTTTACTGAAGTAAACATGAACGTTTTCCTGCCCCAGCAGGAACTCCACCCCAGAGCCAGGAAACATACAAGAACACTCATGGTGCTGCTGTTCCTCACAGCTTCAGACTGGAAATGTCCCAGGTGCCCGTCCACTGTAGCACACACAAGTCAGTCATTAATAAGACAAGATGGGCCGGTGCGGTGGCTCAGGCCTGTAGTCCCAGCAGTTTGGGAGGCCAAGGCAGGTGGATCACGAGGTCAAGGGATTGAGACCATCCTGGTCAACATGGTGAAACCCCGTCTCTACTAAAAAAAAAATACAAAAAATTAGCTGGGCATGGTGGCAGGTGCCTGTAATTCCAGCTACTCAGGAGGCTGAGGCAGGAGAATTGCCTGAACCCAGGAGGTGGAGGTTGTGGTGAGCCGAGATCGTGCCATTGCACTCCAGCCCGGGTAACAAGAGTGAAACTCTGTCTCAAAAAAAAAAAAAAAAAAAGATAAGATGGACTACCACATAGCACAATAATACAAATAATCCAAATACAGATATTACAAATAATACACATACAAAATAAGGAATAAGCCACAAGTACCCAGAACATGAATGATTATGAAAAGAAAAAAAAAGCATTTTGTTTTTGAGACAGGGTCTCACTGTGTTGCCCAGGCTGGAGTGCATGGGTGCAATCATAGCTCCCTGTAGTCTCTATCTACCTGTACTAAATCGATCCTCTTGCCTCAGTGTCCTCTACGGCTGGGACCACAGGCACACACCACCACGCCCAGCTAATTTTTGTATTTTTAGTAGAGATGGGGTTTCACCATGTTGGCCAGGCTGGTCTCGAACTCCTGACATCAAATGATCTGCCCACCTTGGCCTCCCTAAGTGCTGGGATTATAGGCGTGAGCCACTGTGCCCGGCCCTTTCTCTGTGTGTGAGTGTGTCCCGTCTGCAAGATGGGAAACGTGCAGGCCTGCATCTCTCATCTACAGTCTGTGTGTTCAAAAGCTCGGAAAACCAAACGCTTTTCCCAGACCCACTTGGTGGCAGGAGCTGACATGAGCTGAGCTGTCATAAAGTTTGGTGTAGTCTTTGGCTGTCCCTGAGAATGAACCTGCACCTCACTGATGGCATATTCGCGTTTGATCACACAAATGCTCCAAGGCCCTACAAGGGGTCTAACGTAACATGTCAAACGGGCTCTGTGCGACTTGCTTAATATTCAAAGTCTAAGCTGAGCACAGCGGCTCTCAACTGTAATCCCAGCACTTTGGGAGGCCAAGGTGAGTGGATCACTTGAGGTCAGGAGTTCAAGACCAGCTTGGTCAACATGGTGAAACCTCATCTCTACTAAAATACAAAAATTAGCTGGGCATGGTGGTGCGTGCCTATAATCCCAGGTATTTGGTAGGCTGAAGCAGGAGGATGGCTCGAACCTGAGAGGTGGAGGATAGAATGAACAGAGATGGGGCCACTGCACTCTAGCCTCAGTGACAGAGGAGACGCCATCTCAAAAAAAGTCTAGATTCCCAAATGCATCTGGTGCCAAGAGTTTTGGATCAGAGAGGGTGGACCTCTAATAACCCTTGTCCCTCACGGTTGTGGGTAAATTTCATGAGATGAGGGCCTGGCCCTTGACAAATGTTTGCTGCCACTGTGAGGAGTTGCTATGATTAGCATGGAACGCCCAGCTATGGGATGGAGGAGTCCATGTGGGCACCTCCATCTGCTTCGACCAGAGACTAGAAGAATGTGGGATAAGGATAGGCGTGCTTAGGAAATAACAAGGCCAAACACAGCAGGACAAAAACTGAACCTCTGGCACGATCGTTCGATGAATTTTCAAAAGGAAAAAGAAAATACCAAGTTCCAAATCTATCCCTAGAAAAAGAGTGGTGACTGGGCACGGTGGCTCAAGCCTGTAATCCAGCAGTTTGGGAAGCCAAGGCAGGAGGATGGCTTGAGCCCAAGAGTTTCAGACCAGTCTGGGTAATGTACAAACAACATTAAAAAAATTAGGCTGGGCGCGGTGGCTCAAGCCTGTAATCCCAGCACTTTGGGAGGCTGAGGCGGGTGGATCACTAGGTCAAGATATCGAGACCATCCTGGTCAACATGGTGAAACCCCGTCTCTACTAAAAATACAAAAAAAAAAAAATGAGCTGGGCATGGTGGCATGTGCCTGTAATCCCAGCTACTCGGGAAGCTGAGGCAGGAGAATTGCCTGAACCCAGGAGGCGGAGGTTGCGGTGAGCTGAGATCACGCTATTGCACTCCAGCCTGGGTAACAAGAGCGAAACTCCGTCTCAAAAAAAAAAAAAAAAAAAATTAGCCAGGCACGGTGGTGTGCACTTGCGGTCCCAGCCACTCGGGAGGCTGAGGTGGGAGGATCACTTGAGCCTAGGAAGCTGAGGCTGCAGTGAGCTGAGACTGTGCCACTGCACTCCAGCCTGGGTGGGAGTGAGACCTTGTCTCAATTAAAAAAAAAAAAAGAAAAGAAAAAGGAAAAGGAAGGAGCCAGATGCACCAGTTATGTTAACAGCATTAGTCAGAAGTGAACAGGCTGTGATAGCTAAGGAAGTGCCTTCACAAAATACTGACAGCTACTGTTAACTGAGCACTTATTTGGCTTCAGGCATATGGGAAGTGCTTTACAAAATGTCACAGAAGCTTCAAACCACTCCACGAAGTAGGCACGTGGGGAAACTGAGGCTTGGAGGAGGGAAGCAACGTGCGCGCAGTCACTGAGCAAAGAAGCAACAGAGCCATGTCAAAACACAAAATTACAACAAACTTCGTTATAGATCTAATGGGCTTTTAGTCAAGATTCCTGAATGATGAGCCCCCATCCCACAAAACGGACTGAGACCCCCACTGGGTAGTAAGAGAATGGCGGGTTTTGTAAAGTGCGACCAAGGAAAAAGAATAACAGGAACAAAACAAAACAAAATAAAAGCTAGGCCGGGTGCGGTGGCTCACGCCTGGAATCCCAGCACTTTGGGGGGCCAAGGCAGGAGGGTCACCTGAGGTCGGGAGTTCAAGACCAGCCTGGCCAACATGGTGAAACCCCATCTCTACTAAAAATACAAAAATTAGCCGGGTGTGGTGGTGTGCGCCTGTAGTCCCAGCTACTCAGGAGGCTGAGGCAGGAGGATCGCTTGAACCCCGGAGATCAAGCCTGCAGTGAGCTGTGATGATGCCACTGCACTGTAGCGGGGATGACAGAGTGACACCCCATCTCAAAGGAAAAAAAAAACCTGCTGGTATTTGAATTCTGGTATACAGGACTTCATAGTTTGTGCTATGGTATACTTGTCTTCTGTCTCTGTTTCAAAATGATTTTACTTTATTTTCCCCAACTTTTACGGTGAAATTTCGTTATATAGACAAGTTGAAAGAGTAATCAAAGGAACATCACTATATGCTCCACGTTTTGCCATATTTGTGCTCTCTTTCTTGCTCTCTCTCTCTTTTTTTTTTTTGGACAGAGTTTTGCTCTTGTCACCCAGGCTGGAGTGCAATGGCGTAATCTCAGTTCACTACAACCTCTACCTCCCAGGTTCAAGTGATTCTCCTGCCTTAGCCTCCCGAGTAGCTGGGATTACAGGTACCTGCCATCATGTCCTGCTAAATTTTGTATTTTTGTAGAGATTAGGTTTCAGCATGTTGGCCAGGCTAGTTTCAAACTTCTGACCTCAGGTCATCCACCCGCCTCAGCCTCCCACAGTGCTGGGATTACAGGCGTGAATCACTGTGCCAGGCAGTGTTGATGAACTACTCTTCAATACTTCCTAATGAATCTCCTAAGAATAAGGGTAACAAGGTGATCCTTCTTAACACCATAAAGAGAAATCCATTCTGCCATCGATACAATTTCCCTGTCTCTAGCAGGTCTTCTGTGGCTATTTCCTCCTAACAAGATCCCCACGGAGGTTCAAACACCACTGGGGGTGGTCAGGTCTCACTCATCTCTTTTAATCTAAAACACTGCTTTTTCCATTTTTCCAAAAGAGATTCTATTACTTTTATCACAGAAAAAAATTAATGCAAACTTTTCTATTTGATTTGTAAGCCATATATAGAACTTGACTGGAATTGGAGAAATGAACATTTATACAAATACAAAAATGTTACTTTAAAAATATATCTTTTTGTCTGGGCACCACTGGCTCACACCTCTAATCCCAGGACTTTTGATGGCGGAGGCAGGCGGATGGCTTGAGCCCAGGTGTTTGAGACCAGCCTGGGCAACACGGCAAAACCCCATATCCACAAAAAATACAAAAATTAATGGGGTTTGGGGGTGTGTGCCTGGGGCCCCAGTTACTCAGGAGGCTGAGGTGGGAGGATCTCTTGATCCCAGGAGGTCAAAGCTGTAGTGAGTCATGATCACAACCCTGCACTCCAGCCTGGGCAACATACATATAACATATATGAGATAAAAACGAGAACACATGGACCCAGGGAGGGGAGTACTAAACACTGGGGTCTATTGGGGGGAAAAGGGGAGGGCCAGCGGGGGAGGGGGGAAGCTGGGGAGGGATAGCCTGGGGAGAAATGCCAAATGTGGGTGAAGGGGAGAAAGGAAGCAAAACACACTGCCATGTGTGTATCTACGCAACTGTCTTGCGTGTTCTGCTCATGTACCCCAAAACCTAAAATGCAATAAAAAATTAAAAAAAAAAAAAAAGAGATACATAGACTTTTGTTTTTGTTTTTGAGATGGAATCTTGCTCTTGTCGCCTAGGCTGGAATGCAGTGGCGCGTTCTAGGCTCACTGCAACCTCTGCTTCAAGCGATTCTCCTGCCTCAGCTTCCTGAGTAGTTGGGATTACAGGTGCCCGCCACCATGCCAGGCTAAGTTTTGTACTTTTAGTAGAGATGGGGTTTCATGTTGGCCAGGCTGGTCTCCAACTCCTGACCTCGGGTGATCCTCCCACCTCGGCCTCCCAAAGTGCTGGGATTACAGGGGTAAGCCACTGCGCCTGGCCTAAAGATCTATTTTTTAAAAGAAGCTCCTTAGCCACGCCTTACAAAAAGAGAGTCTACAGATATTAGGTATATTTAATGGAACAATCAATACAAGTTTTAAAAAATTATTTGATGTTAGAAAAGTACCCTATAGAGAATTGAAAAGTAATGCCCGGACTGTACAGGGAGGGAGGAGGAAACCCAGGGAGATGGTGAAAATTGTCTCCTATTTTAGCAAGGGACCCATGGATGCCTCGCCTAAAAGCTGATGAAATAAATAATTCAAAAACCTGCTTTAAAGATTTGGCGATAGACACCGAAGGAAACAACGGAATCAAAAGTGGAAAAAGTTTAAAACGTGGCAGCAGCGATCGGGAGTTACTTTTTGCCATTTTTGAAAAGTAATGTAATTACAAAAAAAACCTATTTGGCCGACAGGGGTTGGGGGCGGTGGTGAGGGAGAGGTTTAAAGGCGCGTTGTTCTCGGTGTCTGAGTGTCGTGTATTACTGGAACATTTTAAAAGTATTATTTAGTTCACAACTAGACACATACTATTTGTCTTTCAAACTATGGAGTAAACAGACGCTGTCTAAAGTTGAAGAGGCGATATCCAGAGCTGTAGAACAAATCGCCAACACTGCAAAAGTAACATCGCAGCAGAAGATCGAAACCGAGAGTTGCGGCCGCGGCGGGACACACAATGTGCCGGAGTCGCTAAATCAAGAAACCGCCCTCCGAGGCTTCTGATTCGCTGATTCTGCGAGGGGCCTGCAGGCCGGAAGACGGCAAATCCAGCCACGGTAAAGAGCGGCCTAGCCTTCCCCGGGCGGGGGCGCCCACGAGTTGGCTTGCAGCGTTTGGCAGGGGTTTTGGATGGCGGCCTCCGCGGACGAGCGCAGGGGTGGAGAAGCCTGGGCGTTCGAACACCTACTTCCAAAGCGAAGCCCTTCCAGATTTAGGGCTTTCTAACGTGCATTTGTATAACTTTGGGTTTAAAGGAGCCTCAGGCCGCGGGAGGGCCCGGGAAAGGGAAGCTGCGGGTTACGGGACTCCCAGGGACCCGCCCCTCCGGGCAGGGCCTGGCGCGGGAATCCTTCCCGGGGCGCCCAGGCTGCAGGCGAGAACGGGACTGACGCTTGGCTCCCGACCTCGGTCGCCTACCTTTCCCGGCGCTCACCTGGCGGCCTGCTCGGAGGCGGCAGCTGCGGGCTAAGCTCCCCTTCCCCACTTTGCTCTGGGAGGCAGTCGGGGGGCTCCCCGGGATTGGCGTGGCCCAGGGAGCCCCGGGACAGGCGGTCTGGGCGGTCTGTCCTCTCCTGAGGCGTGGCGGCTGCAGCCCGGCGCCGGGGGCGGCGACTCTGAGATCCCGCGGGCGGGTGCGAGTGCAGGAGGCCGCCCCTCCTCTGGCGGCGGGGAGGGCGGGCGGCGAGGGGGATGCGGCGGGGAGTGGGGCCAGCCAGTGCCCCCAGATCCCGGGCCCGCCCCTGGGAGAGCCGCCTCCTCTGAGCGGACGAATCCCAGGTCCCCAAGCCCCCCCACCCGCGGGGGGACTGGTCCTAGCTCCCCTCCCCCCATCCACATCCCGTTCCTTTCTGGTTCTGGCCTCCTGCCCGCGGCCGCCTCCACCATTCACAGCATGGATGGGATCGTGCACAGGCCCACGGCTGGTAAACCGCTCAGCTGTGATCCCGACCCAGGGCCTGATGCGAAACCCTTGGATCAAAGTCCCTGGCCGCGGGGAGTTTCTTGTGTTTACACTGCTTCCCAAGGCTAGATTCTCAGAAGCCCGGGCCTGGTCTGAAATTCAGCCCCTCCACCACACACACTGCAGCAATGACAAACCTGTGCACTCCCACCCTGGGACGCCCCCGTCCTCCCTATGCCCCCAGCTAGAGACAACTGAATTAATCCGGAGGTTCAGTATCGGTCAGAATGGGACCACGACCCGTTTCTCCCTTTACCTCTGCCCTTGGGTCTTTGCAGTCCCTTCTGATGGCCCCAGATTGCACCAGGGACCTCCAGGTGACTGATCTCAGACACCCCACAGCTAGTTTTCTGGACGCCATGCCTCTCCTATGTTTGTAAATCATTTTCCAGGCCCACTGGCTCGTATCTGCCACGGTGCTAAATGTTTATATGCATGGCCTCCTCATGGACGCCTCTCCTGAGACACTGAAGATACCTGATCTATTGCACGCAGTCCATGTCGTTAGCTTGGGGTGGGTGGGGACCACACAGCCGGAGAGCCTGGATTCCCCAAGGCCCCTTCCCCTTAAAACCTCCGCCAGGCCCCACAGCGCCATCGTGAGGACGGCGTGAGACTCTGCGTGTGCAGCGCGGAGCAGTGCCGGGCTCAGAGCCAACGCTAATTTGACTACTATTATATTATTTGTACCAACCGCCTTTGAAAGCATTTTCTGCTGTAGGTTGTAAAATTGCTGTATTATTGGTAGAGTTTTAGCACAGATCCACACGCATTTCCTTATGTGAAAGGCGTAGGCTTACATTTGTTTTGCATTCCGGATTTTGGGGGGTTTATTTATTTTATTTTTTTGTGACGGAGTCTTGCTCTGTTGCCCAGGCTGGAGTGCAGTGGCGCGATCTCGGCCCACTGCAACCTTGGCCTTCCGGGTTCAAGCAATCCTTCCTGCCTCAGCCTCGCGAGTAGCTGTGATTACAGGTACCCACCACCATGTCCGGCTAATTTTTGTATTTTTTAGTAGAGATGGGGTTTCACCACGTTGCTGAAGCTGGTCTCAAACTCCTGACCTCAGGTGATCCGTCCGCCTCGGCCTCCCAAAGTGCTGGGATTACAGGTGTGAGCCACCGCGCCTGGCCAGACCTAAATTTTGAACCTAAATTTAATAATGAGAAAATAGGTCAGGCCTGGTGACTCATGCCTGTAATCCCAGTTCTTTGGGAAGCAGAGGTGGGAGGATCACTTGAGCCCAGGAGTTCGAGACCAGAGTCCCTATTTCTGCAAAAAAAATTAGCCAGGTGTGGTGGTACACACCCATAGACTCAGCCATTAATACTTGTGAGGATGAGATGGGAGGATTGCTTGAGCCCACGAGGCCGAGGTTACAGTGATCTATGATTGCATTACTGCATTCCAGCCTGGACAACAGAGCAAGACTCTGTCTCAAAAAAAAAAAAAAAATGGAAATCATCTTGCATTGAGAATGGGGGCCAGGACTGTTCAAAAAGTCAACATACAAATAATTACAAAAGAGCCGGGTACAGTGGCGCCTACCTGTAGTCCCAGCTACTGGGGAGGCTGAGGCTGGGAGATCGCTTGAGCCCAGGAGTTCTGGGCTGTAGTTCGCTATGCCAATCAGGTGTCCACACTAAGTTTGGCATCACGATGGTGGCCTCCCCAGAGCAGGGGACCACCAGGTTGCCTAGGGAGGGGTGAACCGGCCCAGGTCGGAAATGGAGCAGGTCAAAACTCCGTGCTGATCAGTAGTGGGATCGTGCCTGTGAACAGCCACTGCACTCCAGCTTGGGCAACATAGCGAGATCCCGTCTCTAAAAAAAAAAAATAATTATTATTATGAAAGAGACCAAAGAGATCTTAACAACCAAATGTTGTAGTTGCACCTTGATTGGGTCCTGAATTGTCCACACTAAGTTTGGCATCAAGATGGTGGCCTCCCCAGAGCAGGGGACCACCAGGTTGCCTAGGGAGGGGTGAACTGGCCCTGTTGACTTTGGGTTCCATTGCTCAGCGCTGATTTTACTCTTCCTATTTGGCCAGGCTTGCTTGTCTCGACTTCCCAAACAAGGGATGAAGCTGGTGTCTGTAGGTGACAGGGGTGCGCTTCCTGTTCTAAATATCTGAATTTTCCCATGAGTTTGGGCCTACGTTAGAGCATGAATGGGAGCTTTGTGTCTGGGTCAGGGGGCTTGCCAACAGGCTGGGCTCACTTGTGGGCAGAGAAGTGTCCAAAAGCCCTATTTCCAGCTGCTCCTCCCCTCTGTCCCAAGTGCCAGGGTAGGGCTGGCTGCCTTTTTTTTTTCATTTCAGATGCCAGCATCTACTGTGGTTACCACCTCAGGCTGTCAGAGTTGGATCTCTTTAGGAAACCACCCTTCAGTTCTTGCTTTTCCTACACTTGAATGTTAGGTGGCCCATTCCCCGGGGAGGAGGGTGAGGAGAGGGCACAGGAGGCTCAGACAGACAAACAGATTCTCATCTTCTCTGCCTTTTTTTTTTGAGACAGGGTCCCGCTCTGTCACCCAGGCTGGAGTGCAGTGGTGTGATCTCCCCAGTTCAAGCTTTTCTCCTGAGTAGCTGGACCACGCACTGTATTTTTTGCAGAGATAGGGTTTTGCCATGTTGCCCAGGCTGGTCTCGAACTTCTGACTCCAAGATGTCCTCCCACTTCGATCTCCCAAAGTGCTGGGATTATAGGCATGTGCCACCAGGCCTGGCTCATTTAATAAATTTTGATGATATTTCCATATCACTACATAGGGAGCTTCCTTTTTTATTTTAGTTAATTTTATTATTATTATATATTATTATTTTTGAGACAGAGTCTCGCTCTGTTGCTCAGGCTGAAGTGCAGTGGAGTAATCTCAGCTCACTGCAATCTCTGCCTCCTGGGCTCAAGCGATTCTTGTGCCTCAGCCACCTGAGTAGCTGGGATTACAGGTGCCTGCAACCACGCCCTGCTAATTTTTGTATTTTTAGTAGAGATAGGTTTCACCATGTTGGCCAGGCTGGTCTTGAACTCCTGGGCTCAGCTGATCCGCCTGCCTCGGCCTCCCAAAGTCTGGGATTATAGGGGAGAGCCACCGTGCCCACCCACAAGTAGCAATTTTTCCATGTTGCTCAATTCTCAGACATTCAGGGGCTTGCGTGTGTAAGGACAGGAATACTAACTAATCTTTGTTCTTTGATAAAAATCATTAAACAGTTGTTCCTCTAAATCTTCCTCCAAACCAGATTTCCCTAATCATTTCAACATTCCTTCCAAATGCCATCGCTTAAACCCTTCACAAATCTAATGTCAGCTGCTCGCAAATGTTGTAAATACCTTAACAAATAGACAAAGCAATTGTGTGCTATTATAATGATTACAACACTAATGCATACTTGTGCCGACACGTGCACCAGTGTACTGATACCCATGGATTTGAACTTTTTTTTTTTTTGAGATGGAGTCTCCCTCCATCGCTGGGCTGGAGTGCAGTGGCATGATCTCCGCTCACTGCAACCTCCTCCTCCTGGGTTCAAGTGATTCTCCTGCCTCAGCCTCCTGAGTAGCTGGGATTACAGGTGTGCACCACCATGCCCAGCTAATTTTTGTATTTTTAGTAGAGACGGGGTTTCACCATGTTAGCTAAGATAGTCTCTATCTCTTGACCTCATGATCCGCCCACCTCGGCCTCCCAAAGTGCTGGGATTACAGTTGTGAGCCACTGCACCTGGCCTAAACTTATTTCTTTATTATTAGCATTACAAAAAGTGGTCCGGGTATGATGGCTCATGTCTGTAATCCCAGCACTTTGGGAGGTGAATGGATCATATGAGGTCAGGAGTTAGAGACCAGCCTGGACAACATGGTGAAAACCCGTCTCTACTCAAAATACAAAACTTAGCCAGACATGGTGGCACATGCCTGTAGTCCCAGCTACTCAGGGAGGGTAAGGCAGGAGAATCGCTTGAACCTGGGAGGTTGCAGTGAGCCAAGATTGCACCATTGCACTCCAGTCCAGGCGTCGAGAGTGAAACTCCGTCCACACACCTTCCCCCACCAAAAAAAAAAAAAGTAGAATTGTTTATTTTTCATTTATTTATTTATTTTTGAGACAGGGTCTGGCTCTGTTATCCAGGCTGGAGTGTACTGTCAGGATCACAGCTCACTGCAGCCTTGATTCCTGGGCGCAAGTGATTCTCCCATCTGAGCCCCACGTAGCTGGGACTATAGGGGGCATGCCACCACACCCAACTAATTTCTGTATTTTTTGTAGAGATGGGACTTTGCCATGCTGCCCAGGCAGGTCTCGAACTCATGAGCTCAAGCGATCCACCCGCTTCAGCCTCCCAAAATGCTGGGATTACAGGCACAAGCCACCGTGCCCGACCTTGTTTCTTTATTATTGCTATTCTAGCATTTAGGCTCCTTTCCTGCAGGGAGTATGTTTTGACTCGCCCAGTGTAAGGAGCCTTGGTTACCGTCTGAGATGTGCTGAGGTTTCAGCTGTAGATCCGAGTCAGTTTCAGGAAGGCTGATGATTCAGGACCGGCAGCGAGGCCCCGGGAGCTTCTAGCAGGGCAGCCCCCTGAATGTGGGTGTTACTCAGAGCCGGTCCATGTGATTGGATCTGAGCAGGAAGGGA